ATATACCATCGACAAGGTACACATCATCTGAATATCTTTTGTTAACTGAAGATGGAGAACCGGAGAGTTTTCAAGAAGCTATGTCTCACAAGGATAAAGAAAAATGGCTAATAGCAATGCAGGATGAGTTAGAATCTCTACAGAAAAATCAAACCTATGAGATCGTAGAACTTCCTAAAGGGAAGAAAGCTCTGAGGAACAAATGGGTGTTCAAGCTGAAGAAGGATGCAAATGGACAAGTGGTGAAACACAAAGCTCGGTTGGTTATCAAAGGGTTCCAGCAGAAGAAAGGAATTGACTTTGATGAGATCTTTGCACCAGTTGTCAAGATGACCTCAATCCGAGTTATACTTGGCTTGGCAGCAAGTATGAACTTGGAGCTTGAACAGATGGATGTGAAGACAGCATTTCTTCACGGAGATTTGAAAGAAGAAATCTACATGCAGCAGCCGGAAGGTTTTGAGAACTCAAATGATAACTTTGTGTGTAAGTTATCTAAAAGTTTGTATGGCTTGAAGCAGGCACCAAGGCAGTGGAATAAGAAGTTTGACTCATGCATGAAGAGTCAAGGCTACAAGAAGACTACTGCAGATGAGTGTGTATACATCAAGAAACTTCCAGACGGTACCTTCATTGCTCTTCTACTATATGTAGACGACATGTTGATCGTTGGGAAAGATGCAGTGAAGATAAACCAACTGAAGAAAGAACTCTCTAAGTCTTTTGATATGAAAGACTTAGGACCGGCTCAACAGATTCTTGGGATGCAGATCACTCGAGATAGGAAGAATCGCAAGTTATGGCTATCTCAGGAGAAGTACATTGAACGAGTACTTGAGAGATTCAACATGAATGATGCCAAACCAGTAAGTGTTCCACTTGCGAATCACTTCAAGTTGAGCAAAAGAACATGCCCTACATCCAAGGAAGAGATCGGGGAGATGTCAGCAGTTCCATATTCTTCAGCAGTTGGGAGTTTGATGTACGCCATGGTATGCACAAGGCCAGACATCGCACAGGCAGTGGGTACAGTGAGTCGTTTTCTCTCTAACCCCGGGAAGGAGCATTGGGAGGCAGTCAAATGGATTCTCAGGTACTTGAAAGGTACCACGAAGTTATGTCTTTGTTACGGAGGAGCTGATCCAGTCTTGGAAGGCTACACAGATGCTGATATGGCAGGAGATACTGATAGTAGAAAGTCTACTTCAGGATATATCTACACTTTTGCAGGGGGAGCCGTTTCTTGGCAATCAAGATTGCAGAAGTGTGTCGCTTTATCTACAACAGAAGCAGAATACATTGCTGCCGCTGAAGCAGGTAAGGAAATGTTGTGGCTAAAGCGCTTTCTCCAAGAACTTGGGATCCAGCAGAAAGAGTATAAGGTACATTGTGACAGTCAGAGTGCTCTAGACTTGAGCAAGAACTCCATGTACCATTCTCGTACAAAGCATATTGACATTCGGTATCACTGGATACGGGAGACGATTGATCAACAACTGTTGAGACTAGTGAAGATCAATACAAAGGAGAATCCATCAGACATGCTGACGAAGGTGGTGACACGAGATAAGCTAGAGCTGTGCAGAGACATAGTCGGGATGCTTGTTTTGAATATGCCTGGAAGGGGAGAATTGAAGAATTCAATTTCCAGGTCATATCCAAGTACAAGCAAATTGAAGAATCCAATTGTGAGCAACATCCATGAAACTTCCTCCATGTGCAAGTATGTCTCTGGGAAGTTTCCTCACACCAAACAACCACCTTCCTCACACCTCCATTGAAGCTTCTCCTAAGCTTCCACCCATCTTCCTCCCACCTAGTTTTGGTACTATAAATAGAGAGCTTGGAGAGTCTTTCTATCATCAAGCAATTTAGATCAAGTAAATTAGAATAGATCCTCATAGCACAACCAAGAAGAGTTGTGAATATCCTTGAGAGATATGTGAGGTGTTGTTTTGAGAGTTTTTAGTTAGAGCTTGTATGTCTCTTCTTTCTATTCTTGAAAGTAATAGAAGTGTTTTTTCTCTCATATTAGCACGATCCTGTTATTCCCAACATTTGATTTGATTATATCTTGATGTATGTTCTTCCGTTTCAAGTGTTTATATCTCATTGGAAAGATCATTTTGAGTTCAAAATTTGGTTTATTAGCTAACCATCCCGTAATATTTTGATTATAATCAAGGGTAAAATGTGAAAATTATCAATTTTAACGGTTAAACTTAATACAAATCTAATTAGAAGTCAATTTCAATTAGCAATACTTGACTTTATTATTACTTAGAGTAGATTTTAGACAAATTGTTTACACTTGTTGGAAGGGACTGTTGTTGAATGTTCGGAATAATTTGAACACTTTAAAGAGTAAACAACGATTGATAATTTCTTTTAATGATTATGAGATAAATTTGATAGATGTTTGATGAGATTAGAAGCGGATCAAAGAATCATACTTGTAGAAATAAAATAGAGTTTATGTTCAAGTGGTAATGAAATGTGATGTTTAGTGGGATAAATATATAGTATAACTGAGGAATGCTCCTGTCCAGACGTCCGGACAGGAGCCGCCGTCCGGCCGGCGGCGTTTGGCCGCCTTCCCGGTGGAATTTTTTGATGAAATTTTTATGGCATGTTCTCCATCAAGTCTAGTTTATCCACAAAAAAATTCAGCCAAAAACTCAATCGGGAAGGTCGTCAAATGATTTTTGCAAGTTAACTGGTCCGGAAAATACATATTCCGGACCAGTTAACTTGCAAAAATCATTTGACGACCTTCCCGATTGATTTTTTGGCTGAATTTTTTTGTGGATAAACTAGACTTGATGGAGAACATGCCATAAAAATTTCATCAAAAAATTCCACCGGGAAGGCGGCCAAACGCCGCCGGCCGGACGGCGGCTCCTGTCCGGACGTCTGGACAGGATCTTTTCTATAGTATAACTTACGTATAATGAGATGTGATGCTTAATCCGCATTATGAGAAACCTGATCGGTTAATATGTGCTTTGGACGCTGTTTGAAATTAGTAATATTTAATCTCAATGATGGATACCTTACAATTAATAATTTATCATTATCATTAGAAATAATTATAATTAAAATAGTGGTTGTTATAAAAATGTGATCTATTAAATGTAGCAACTATAATAGTAATTTAGCAAAATAACTTATGTTCAATTTTTTTACACTTAAGTTACCATGAGATTTTAATATTGTAACTTTTAGTTACATTTCTGTGAATAAGTTTTATTTTAGTATTTTTTTTGGAAGAGGGGGGTTTATATTGAAATCAAAGCATTAACATTCAGAAAGGGAGTAAACTGAGTAAAAGACCCCAGACAACCGTCAATCTTCGAACCAGACTTGAAGTTAATCACCTTCAAACAAGTAATATAACCCGTTGATCCATTACTGGGCAAACCTGAGCCACAGACGATTGAAGTAGATCCAAACTCACCACATCTTAATTTAAGAGTCTTACAATCAAAACAAACAACAACAAAGCAAAAAACATTCTGATAAAATAAAACAACAACAATAAAAGCAGAAAAATAAACGTTCCTCTCCATTTGCGGCTTCGCGCGAATACCTTCACAGGTCCGCCCGTTGAAAAAATCAGCACCTTCGAACAAAACGGCGGACCTATATGTTGAGGTCCGCCTCATCTCCGTTTTTTGCCTGTCCAGTACCATATCTTCACCTGTTGGGTTTTCCTGTTCGCTTTGCTCACATGTTCTTCTGCGCTTCTGCTCTTGACTCACCGAAATCCCTTCCTTAATAGCATTAGACCCTGAACCTGTAGTAACTTCCTTCCAGCCCTGCCTGTCTGTGTCTTGTCAATCTGAAGCTCCCATACCAGTACTGGATGACCCTTCAATTAACCACTTATTTCCCCCTGTTGGACTAATCTTCACCCCTCCCCCTACTCTGAGTTCTACTCCATAATTTTTATCAGAGGTGATATTCTCTCCCTCATACACTGCAGGGTAAAATTTATCAGAATGTCACACACAAAACAAAAATTAGGGAGTTTTTCGTACTTAAAATCCACCCATTGGCTAAAGCCCACCTTTTTTCAGAGTAGTTCCTTTTTTCAAAGGTCTCCTAACATCTATACAGATCATAATTCTCATATATGCCTCCCAATTTTCATCAGCCCGACGTTCATAATAACTACAGAGTAATAAGTTTTCCAATACAAATGCCAATACATCTAGCAGAACCCAAATTCATAAAGCCATATGCAACGTTATGGACTTGTACCCAAAAACCAGCCTCGTAAAGACTAATCTGTGAAGGAATATCCTCTACCTTGATTTCCTTAAGAAGTAAAAGATTTCTCTCATATAACCACAGACCTTCATCTAAAACATGTCTCATATCAAGAATATGATAAAACTGGAATTTGATCTTCCAAACCATAATAATCATGCCTGCTACTGGGGAAATTGATCTACTCTCATTCGCCGACTCCTCCTCCCCCTCCTCTTCATCATCATCGAAAATCAGCCCCTCCTTGTCCTCGTCAATTGCCGTTTGTTTATATTGATTGACAAAGTCCTCCATTAAAAAGAACTCCTGCTTCGCACCGCCCTTACCTCCGTCGATGGAGATCGCCGAAGAAAAGTAGTAGCCACGTGCGACCCTAACGAAGAATTTGCGGAAGCTTGCCGATAGATCGGAGGCCGTCCTTCGACTAGGTCGAACACGGAAGAAAGCTGTAGCGGCTAAAAAGCTCTAGAGAGAGAAAATCTCGAAATATGTATTAATCTTAATACAGTAATATTTTAAAAAACCTCTTCAACATAGTAAGTGTTTTATTAAAACAATTAAAAATGTGTAAATTTGAAGATGTCAATTTTAAACGACTCAACTTAATAATAATAATCTAGTTACAAATATTTACGATGCTTTACTATATTAATTCTAAAATTATTAATTATTAATGAGGCTGATAAAAGATCTGTTTAGCTAACATCACAATGTATGAAGATTGATATTTCCACTCTAAGTGCTAATGATCAATTTATACATCAACCAGTACAAATTATTATGAGTAATAGACACACAAATATGAGTTTTTGAACTGCAAATGGTCTAATCAAATTGTAGAATATAGCTTTTGTTAATCATTATCATATTGATTGCAAATGAGTAATTAGCATACTGATTCATTCTGCCAATCGATTTTTTGAAGCGGAAGGCACAAAAATCACAACAATTACAAGCTTTTTGAATGAAATCTGGTGAATAATAAACAAAGCTATTCTTTTGACTAAACTTTCGCCAGAATTCTTTCTAGCCAAGGAAATAAGGAATATGAAGGGTTGAACAGTATATGAGCACAGCAATTTTTAATCTAAAATAAATTAAATTAATCATACCAATGATTTTCTTTATAAAAAGAAAGTAATAGAAGCGTATATTCAGTTATACTCCAGAAAGGTGTAAAATAGGGATTGGGGAGTTGCCAGTAAGGAAGGATTGCCGCTCGTTCAGCTTAGGACTCTGATCGAATTGCTAAACTTTGGAGGGCTCTATCGTGTTTAGTCTCCTTTGATCGACTATACTGCTAAGCTTCCTTACGCGTTCAAATTTGCTTCGTAGTTCCGCATTCCATTATCTGGTGAGCAGCGATGACCGCTTTCATTCGCTTTGTTTCAGTAGCTTTACTTTACCTTTTCAATACTGTCATCTTTTTCTAAATGAGTTTGGGATCGTTCGGGCTTGCTGCTGCTAGGTTTTGGCCTAGTGGATTCGTCTGTGTTGAGATTTTGTGTATTTAGGGTTTTGTTCTGATTGAACCTTGTGTAAAAGATTAAACATTCATCAGCGGTTGAATGTTGCGGCTGTTTTTGCGTACCGCTTGCTAAATATTGAATGTATTGGGGTATGTCATGATATATGATGTCACCTCGATAATGTAAAGTTTAATATACTCAGCGTTAATGTTGGTCGGTTGGGCAAACACACATTTGTGCACATTCTTATCACTGGAGTTGCATTCAGGGGCTTTCTTTGGTTCCTGTTCCTGTTCCTGTTATGGTATAATATGATACTGTTTGATGCTTCATATTGAGGGCTGACTGTTTGTGCTATATTGTAGCTATAAGGAATTAGTGAAGGGAGTCAACATGTCTATGAATCAAATGAAGACAATAGATTTGGATGAAGGACTGGAATTCATGCAAAAGGGGATTTCAAAGCTAAAGAGGATTTTGGAAGGGCAACCCGAGTCTTTTGTCTCTGAAGAATATATTTTGCTTTACACGTATCCTTTTCCATAATTAACATGATTGTTCCTTCTTTGAATTTTTGTAACTTCTGCTTTAATATTTGTTCCTCCTTAATTGTACTGTAGTACTATCTATAACATGTGCACGCAGAAGCCCCCTCATGATTATTCTCAGCAACTATATGAGAAGTACAAGGAAGCTTTTGATGAGTACATCAATTCAGTAGTAAGAACTTCTTTGGGTTGAAGCTTCTGTTTTTGTCTATTCTTTTTTTAACTCTCCTTCACATTCAGATTGTAGAGGGAATCTTTGCAAAATTCCTGTCATTGCAGCTGACTTTCTACTAATTCAATTCCTTTTGCAGGTTTTGCCTTCATTGAGAGAGAAGCATGACGAATTCATGCTAAAGGAGCTTGTTAAAAGATGGGCGAACCACAAACTTATGGTTAGGTGGCTCTCTAGATTTTTCTACTACCTTGACCGGTACTTTATTGCTAGGAGGTCACTTCCTCCTCTCCGTGACGTTGGGCTTATTTGCTTTCGTGATCTGGTTTGTTACCAGCTTTTCTGATTGACTTTGTTTGTTATATTTTTATTAATATGCTTTTGTTAGTATTTACATCCTCCTTGATAACAGGTTTATCAGGAAGTGAGAAATAAAGCCAGAGATGCTGTTATTGCTCTGGCAAGTCTTATGCCCCGATTATTGTTTTCACTATTTTTACACATACTGCGTGTGTTTGTAATAAAAAACAAATACTTTCATACCAGATTGATCAAGAACGTGAGAGTGAGCAGATTGATAGGGCATTACTCAAGAATGTGCTGGACATCTTTGTTGAAATTGGAATGGGACAGATGGAATACTATGAGACTGACTTTGAAGAGGCCATGCTCAAAGACACTGCTGCTTATTATTCTCGGAAGGCATCAAACTGGATTGTTGAAGATTCTTGTCCAGATTACATGCTGAAGGTAAATTTATTCATTATATGTTCTTTCTTTAGATAGTTTACCATCCACATGCCAATAGCTAAAATTCAGCATAGCTTCTGTTCTATGTAACTGCAGGCTGAAGAGTGTTTGAAGAAGGAGAAAGAACGGGTTTCTCATTATCTACATTCCAGCAGTGAAACCAAGCTCTTGGAGGTAGATCACTTAGCAATTTAACATACACACACCTATCTTACACATCATTGAAATTAATCCAATAGAACCCCAAAGATGAATATATATTTGTTATGAATGCAAAATGATTAGGTTCGAGTTCTAGACCTAGGAACCTATCATTGTTTATATTCACCTCATATGTTTTTCTGAACTTATTTTTTTAATAACTTTGTATGATTCATTATGCTATAGAAAGTGCAAAATGAGTTGCTAGTAGTATACACCAATCAACTGCTTGAAAAGGAGCATTCTGGTTGCAGAGCACTGCTTAGGGATGATAAGGTATAAATATCTGTATTTCACGATTAAATTCTATTTTCCATTTATTGTATTTATAACCAACTTCTTTCCATTTCCCCTTTCTATGTCAGTTGGAAGATCTATCTAGGATGTATAGGCTTTTTTTAAAGATTACCAAGGGATTGGATCTGGTTGCCAATATGTTTAAACAGGTACCATGGTTTATTTATGTCCCCATGTTGCTTGAATGTGCATTAGGTGTGTGTATATAACTATGCAATCATCATGCTAAGCCTTTCACGTCACTTCTTATCATAGCATGTTACTGCTGAAGGCATGGTATTGGTGCAGCAGGCTGAAGATGCTGCTAATAGTAAAGTATGCTTCCTGGAAACCCTTATCATTCTAACTACCCGTATCTACAACTATTTATTTTTTTCTTGTTGAACGCAGAATGCATTTCATGTTGCCGTGATGGGTTTTGCAACTTATATCATAAATATAGTTTTTTGCTGCATTTTAATTGCCCTTTTATTGGATTAAAACATTTTCTAAGATTCTCTCCAGTAAAGAATACTTTCCTGCTGGAAAATAGTTTCTGCACCATTTTTATGGAAATTAAGTCTTCTTCCCGACTTTTCTTCTATTTTTGCAGTTTAAAACATTATATTATGCCTAAAACAACTAATTTCATGGAAAGTGCTTTCCACACCATCTTATTTTGGGCAGCGTAAATTGTGCAAATTTGCCTCTAGTTCTGTTTTTACTTGAAATGCACACTAGTTATTGGGTTGTACTGATAATATTTTCCTTGAGCATTACAGAGTGCATACTAAGTATTAGTTTATTCTCATACAGGCTGAAAGCACTGCTGGGAGTTCACAGGAACAGGTAAATACTCTTTTTTTTAAAATGCATTTGTGATTTGTTTCACCCACTAGTTGCCTGTGAAAAGTTTTATGCTCAGGAAAATTGTTTGTTTGGTAAAAAGCCTGTTTATAAAGCTATTAGTACGATAACTCAAGATATTCTATCTGTTTATTTTTGAAGACTGAATTATTCTATTATGGACGTTGTGTTTTCCAGATCTTTGTTCGCAAAGTGATTGAGCTTCATGACAAGTATATGGCATATGTGACAGACTGTTTTTCAAACAATTCTCTTTTTCATAAGGTAAGCTAAATAGCATATGGCTCTGTTGTTTTGCTATTTGTATTGTTTTTCTCAATAACAAGTCTCGGTTTCCTATAGGCATTGAAAGAAGCATTCGAGGTATTCTGCAACAAAATTGTTGGTGGGTGCTCTAGTGCTGAACTCTTAGCTTCTTACTGTGATAATATCCTTAAAAAGGGTGGAAGTGAAAAACTCAGTGATGAAGATATTGAGGAAACATTGGATAAGGTAATTCACAAACTAATTTTGAAGACCTGTTTTTTTCTTTCTTTATGAATGAAGCGGAATTTTTGTCTTCCTCTTAAGGTTGTCATGCTTCTGTCTTGACTGATGATATATCATACACTTTGCAGGTTGTCAAGCTTTTGGCATATATCAGTGATAAGGATCTTTTTGCTGAGTTTTATAGGTGAGAATTTATGGCTACTGATTTTTTTAAATAAAATATTCTAGTATATATATATATTTATATATGTAACAGTTTTCTATATAAATTCCATTGGCTCTTCATAGGAAAAAGCTATCCCGTCGATTGCTTTTTGACAAAAGTGCAAATGATGACCATGAAAGACTTATCTTAACGAAGTTGAAGCAGCAGTGTGGTGGACAGTTCACCTCAAAGATGGAGGGAATGGTGAGTGAACTCCCGCTACCCTCTTCAATATTGCTTCTTTCTCCAAATGTTATTATATCAACCCTGTCTTCCAGGTTACAGATTTGACATTAGCAAAGGAAAATCAGAATCATTTCCAAGATTATCTCAACAATAACCCAGCTGCTAGTCCTGGAATCGATTTGACTGTTACAGTTCTCACAACTGGATTCTGGCCTAGCTATAAATCGTCAGATTTGAGTCTCCCAGCAGAAATGGTGGGTTCTACTAAGAATGTATTACACATAATATAATTGGATATCAAATATATATAATTGGATATCTGGTTGTAAATTGGTTATGCTATAATTTATGGGGCTCTATTGTCACAGGTGAAGTGTGTGGAAGTTTTCAAGGAATTTTATCAGACAAAAACGAAACATAGGAAGCTTACCTGGATTTATTCTTTGGGAACATGCAATGTAAATGGGAAGTTTGAGGCCAAAACTATTGAATTGATATTGGGAACTTACCAGGTGATGTGTTTTTATATAGTTTCTCCCTTGCATCATTGCATGGCTACTGCAATAGGAGCCTGATTCTATTTTAATTTTGTTATCATTTACAGGCTGCTGCATTGTTGCTATTCAATGCCTCAGATAGACTGAGTTACCAAGATATTAAAAGCCAACTCAATTTGGCTGATGAGGACTTGGTCAGGTTGCTACAGTCTCTTTCCTGCGCCAAGTACAAAGTTCTGATTAAGCAACCTACCAACCGCACTGTTTCTCCCAATGATCATTTTGAGTTCAACTCCAAGTTCACTGATAGAATGAGGAGAATCAGGGTAACTCTTCTACCCTTCTGTTTTGGTTTCACAATAGATTGGTATTTCACACTCTGTATTTGTTTGGTTGTACGGATTTGGAAGAGTGGAGGAAGTGGAGTGTTGTGTTTGGTTGTGAGAGTTGGAGGGAAGAGGGGGCAGAGGAAGTGAAAGCGTAGACTCTAATTTCTCATACCCCCCTCCCTAGTTTGGGGTACTTGAGTCTTATTTATCTGTGTATTATAATTATAATATATATAATTATAATTATAATATAATTATAATACAGATTTTTAAATACACTGATTTTTTTCTAAAACAAAAAATCTTTTGTTTATACTCATTCTCCTCCCTGCACTCCTCCAAAATTATCCTCCCATCTTTCAAACCAGACAAAATTTCAAAGTTTAATTGATACTAATGTGGGATGACACTTGTGATATTGTGCAGATTCCGTTGCCTCCGGTGGATGAAAGGAAAAAGGTGGTGGAAGATGTTGACAAGGATAGGCGTTATGCTATTGATGCTTGCATAGTGCGAATCATGAAGAGCAGAAAAGTTTTGGCCCATCAGCAGTTGGTTATGGAGTGCGTTGAGCAGTTGAGCCGTATGTTCAAGGTATATGCGTTTTCCAGTGTTCTCTTCATCTTAGCCTTTCCTAGAATGTTTTTTTTTATTTAAATCTATTTAGTGTTGAAGCCCTTCTTAATATTCATGTGACCCAAGCTCCTGAGTTGGTTTAATCTTGTGTTTTGTCTTGGTAGCCTGATTTCAAGGCGATCAAGAAGAGAATAGAAGATCTAATTACTCGAGATTACTTGGAGAGGGACAAAGAGAACCCAAACATGTTCAAGTACCTGGCCTAAAACGGGTTGCTGCCCGCCCGCCTGCCTGCCCTCGAATGATTTATTACGTACTGGAAGGAAATCAATATCTGCTTTTGCAGTATAGTTTCTTTGCTTAGACTAGTTTGTTAGTGCACGCAATCTGGGTTGGTTTTTTGGATTTGAGCCTTCTCCTACTCATCTAAGTCAGAGAGCAAAGTTGTGCTGCTGTTAATAGATTTTGGATGAATGGATGGATATAGTATACATGCTTGATATAGTAGATGATGCTCCTCTTTTTGTTTATAGCGTTCGCTTCTTTAAGTAAGAGTTGCAAAGCCTTGACCTTGACCGTCTTGATTCCACGTTGTATGTATTTTATTTTCTCCGGTCTTGCATGGTCACTTCGTAGTTCGTACTATGCATAACATTAAAGTTAAAGTTAGGCATGGACCCGGGCCGGTTCGGGCGCAGTTCGGGCCTGGGCCTCGGTTCAGGAAAGGGGAGGCCTGGAACCAGCTCGGGTAACCCCCGGGTCCGGCCCAGGCCGGGCCTCGGTTCAATTTTTTTTTTTGCCTTTTCCTAATTAACCCCTAACCACCCCCCACCCCCAAATCATCCCAAACCATCTCAAATGACCCAAAATACCCAGCTCAACCCAAACACTAAAAAAAAAAGGAAAAAAAAAGAAAATAAAATAAAAATGGCCCTGACCGAGCCCGAACGGGCCAGGCCGGTTTACGTTTTGAGGGGCCCGAGCCCGGACTGGAACCCCAGCGGGTCGGGCCTACCCGAACCGGTCACTGACCGGGCCACCGAACCGGGCCGGGCCGGGCCGGAACAGTGCCGGTTCGGGCCGGTTCCGGGTCGGGCCACCCGGCCCGAGTCCAACCCTAGTTGAAGTGAACTTAAGATATATCCCTGGAAAGACTCGATAACTTTCAAGAGAATATGGAAAATGATTGAAAAAAGAATGGAATACAGGAATAGTATTTGAAATCAAATTTCAGAAAGCCTTTTCTTAAAATTTAAATCCAATTGCGACTTTGAGAGCAATGTAGTTATTTAGTCCAAGGGTTTTTTTTACAAATTTTAATGCATGCATAAGACTGTCAAATTGTAACAAGTAACAACTAATGCAAGACTCTCGACTAATCGTTACGGATGGACTCGGGCCGGGCGGCCCGACCTGGAACCGGCCCGGCCCATGGGCGGTTCGGGTCGAGTGGTCGACCCGGCCCGGGCCTTCATTTTGGTGAACCGGGCCGGCTGGTCCGGGCCGGATTTATTTATTTTTTTTGATTTTTTTTTAAGTTTTTGGGTTGGATTGGTTATTTTGGGCCATTTGAGGTGGTTTGGGGTGGTTTGGGGTTGAGGGGGAGGGTAGGGGGTTGATTAGGAAAACCCAAAAAAAAAATTATATAGAACCGGAACCGGGCCCGGCCTGGCCCGAACCGGACCCGGGGTTACCCGGGCCGGTTCCGGGCCTCCCCTACCATGAACCGAGGCCCGACCGGTTCAAGGCCCGAACCAGGCCCGGCCCGGAACCGGTCCACCACTGCTAATCGTTCCAAGTAGTTGCTGGTTAATAGGACTAACTTGTGCCTTTTGAATGTGACAAGTTGACAACTGAATCACGTTTCATTTAAATGAGACTTGGTGGGATTTTTGAAAGTGCCTTTTGAAACCTACTCAGGTCTTGCCAAGGTAGTCCTGGACTCGGGCCGGGCCTAGGCCCGGGCGGGTCGCCGGTTCTGAGGCCGGGTAGCCACCGGGTCCGGGTCCGAGCCGGGCTTCGGGTAATTTTTTTCCCCCTTTTGCTAATAAACCCCCCACCCCCAACCCCCCAAACCACCCCAAATGGGCCAAAATACTCATCCCAACCCGGAAAGTTAAAAAAAATTGAAAAAAAAAATTGAAAAGCCCGGAATCGGGCCTGAACCGGCCGGGCCGGTTCGGCTTTTGGGTGACCCGAGCCCGCACCGGGAACCCCCGGGCCGGTCCTACCCGGACCGGTCACTGGTCGGGCCACCGGGCCGGGCCGGTTCAGCACATTACCGGTCCCAGGCCGGTTCCGGGTCGGGCCACCCGGGCCGAGTCCAGGACTATGCCAAGGAACAATGGAGGCTTAAAGCTCGTAAGCAACATACATACCAAAATCTTGTTGGCATTAAAACTGGTTTTTCAAAACAATTCAAATTATTGGGTATGTCAAAAATTTGGTATGGTATTATATCGTACCATTTTGTTTTTAGATTCAATAATAGTCAATAAACAAGCGTAGCGTGCATAAACTTTTTCTTTCCCACTCTAGTCCAAATTGGGTTTGCTTTAAATGACTAACTATCGAATATAGCAATCGATTCATTTAAATATAAATAAATGTTGTTATGTTGAAATAATGACACGGATCAACAAAATAATGACATGGACCAATTAGTTACATATTACTATTACTTAACTAATGTTAAAATTAATGGGATACCGTAGCATTTACCTTAATTCAATGTGATTCTAAGCATTAAATAGTATTTTCTCAAAATACTAATGATTTGTACTACACTACTACGTATCAATTAGTCATAGTCTCATAGACCTAATTAAAGCTAAATGAGATGTTTTTCATTCCTTTTGACATTGGAATAGTTTTTATTCCCTTCCAACCATGATTAAAAGTATACCGATATTGACATAAAATGCCATATTAAAAAATAAACATCACATTTTAGAATTCATATACTTGAAAATTTATGTTTCTGAACATAAACGTTATAGCTTAGTAAAAAAAAAAAACTAAATATATTGATAATATGAATAGTACATATAGTTGATTTTTACTAAAAGAATAAATTAAGTCCTAAATAGTGTTTAGAAATGCACGAGCATGACCCTTTAGTCGAGATTATTTCAAAATATTAATATTTAAGATTGTTCAAGGCAAATCTAAACTGAATATTAAACTTTCAGTTATACGGAGTTCATACCTGGGAATATTTTCATCATTTTTATACGTAGTACATGCTATGAACTCATGAACCTTAAAAGTTCGTTGGACATGAAACAACTGTTTTTCCCGTTCAGGCGTTCACTATCTAGCCCATTAATGCATTTCTTCTTAATAGTGAATGGACTAGAATAATTTATGGTAAATACAACACAAAAACGTTACACATTATAATCTACAAAACGGTCCTTTTTCTTGTACACACCTATTTATAGCATTTAATCAACATGATTGGGATGAGACTATATTAGTACAAGCTTATAATGTTTCCTTTTTATGTACACAAAAATGATATAACATGATTGGGATGAGACTATATTAGTACAAGCTTATAATGTTTCCTTTTTATGTACACAAAAATGCTATACTCCGTACTTTTTTATTGCGAAAGAGAATAATTTATAGTCCGAAATCTACCAAATAATAGCAAGTGGCTCGGACAAATGGCAAATGGGATTCTAAGCATTAGACCATGTATGATGTAATATGTATACGATGCTCCATAGCTCTTTAACGGTTTCCACTTCCTACGGTGAAAGCAATCTTTACCTAGATGATGATGCCGAACGGCCCGAGCCTCCTTCAAACTGTTCCCGCAACGCATCATATTTCTTAAGCTCAGCCATTGACAATGAAGGAGACAGATCTTCTAAGACCTTCACAAAACAAAACAAAAACTGCTCAGGAACCCAACATTCTATCATCTCATAAATAATGTCCAATTAAAACTCATGGTCATCACCTTTAAAAAATCATCATGCTCGACTATGATCGTGCCTTGTGTGTTGCTTGACCCGGTAGAATCATCAGGACCAGTAGCTAACGCCTGCAGAAAAATCCATTAAAAATTTGGTTGAACACCTATGCACTCTCAAAAAAATCATGAAATGCAAATTGGGCGGGTTTGAGTAGTAGAGTAGTACATGAACCCAAAAATATACATTGAGTGTATATTACTGTGCAAAATTATAATAAAAGAAATAAAGAAAAATATATTACAAAAATAAAAACCATGGACTACATATGAATTATACAACATAGGACTAAATGATATCTTCACTAGTTGTTATACCATGGGAGCGGTCCATGGTGAGCATCATACTCTCATAGCTAAACGAAGTCATTTAAGTTTAAGTTTTAATTAAAAAAACACGCGTGAACAGTAAATATATGTGTCTCAATATTTTTCGTGATGTAAGTCTCGTGCACTGAAATGTAACTCGCGTTGCTACAAATGTAGTCTCTTTTAGTGGCATATGCAACTCGTGCACCGGAATGTAACTTGTGTTACTCTAGTGATTTTTTTGAAAGACTCTCTCCTGTGGTTATTCTTTCACATTTCATATCATCATCATCATCATTATCATTACCCCAGTGCCGCAAAGGCTCCCACCTACGGTAGCCAGTAGGGTAAGGGGGGGGGGGTCGGATGTACACAGTCTTACCCCTGTACTAAAGCACAGAGAGACTGTTTCCGGATGACCCATAGTGAAAATAACGACCAAAATTGCATAGACTGATTGCTGCTTCATAACAAAGAAGCGCAGACAGTTTAGTGAGTCATTTTGCTTTATTCTCTCACTTTTCATATATGAAATGTAAATTGCGTGTATGATTGTATGTATGTAAAATTAAATTCCAGACAAGTCAAAATGTAAATGATATGTATGCAAAATGTAACTTGTTGACACAAGTCGAAATATAAATCACCGTTATTGAAATGTAACTTGAGACAATTCGAAATTAAAATTCTCTAATATAAGATATATAGCTTAAAGAAATATTGCAGGCCTTCATACAAATATATATTTTTATTTTAGATTAACAAAACTTCAATGGAGCCAAAGACTCGCTATTTTTTGGTTTGGTAATATGATTGAATAAAGCTAAATGGTTCACTAAATTGTCTGTGCTTCTTTATTATGAAGTAGCTAAAGATATATAGCTAAATGCGATTTTCACTATGGGTCATCAGAAACGGTCTCTCTGTGCTTTAGTAAAGTGCAGGGTAGGACTGCGTACATCCACCGCCCTTACCCCACCGTAGGTGGGAGCCTTTGCGGCACCGGGGGTAATGGTGATGATGATTAATAAAACTTCAAAATTGAATTGGAGGGAGAAAAGACCTATATTTCTTTTGGAGTTAAAGAAAAACAAAATTATGGTAAGATAAATGATATTTGATGAAGGAGAAGAAGATTGAAGAAAAGGGGAAAAACAGAATTTTGAAGATGAAGAAAAACGAAATTGTGTTAGATTCTTAATATTTTGAATTTTTGATGATGGAGAAGAAGATTGAAGGAAAGAAAAAAAGGAAAAAATCAGGGAAAGAGATGACCGGAGAGATTGACGAAGGAGAATAGATGGCTAGAGAAGGTCTATTTGCTGTATTTTTATTAAAGAACGACACCGTATTGGGACCGGTGAACCATGCATATTTTCACTCACAAATAACCATAGTGTGATGGGTTTTACACTGCAGTGAGACTATTTTTGTCCATTATCCGAAAAAAACTCTAAACAATTAAAACGATAATAGGAATACTTGGTTTCATAAAACAGTTTCAAGTACCGCACATAATGCTAAACGAGTCAGGGAAGAAATTACTCTGATTCAGAATGGGTCTTGTGGGGGTTTAAATGGACTCTCACCTTGCGCTTTGCAGCAAGAAACCAAGCATCAGCACAAAGTGCATACATGTCAGCTCCTGTAAAGTTGGGAGGGCATTTCTTTGCTATTGAGAGTAGAGAAACA